AGTTTTTTGTTTTTTTCAAGCCTTAGCTGAACAGCAAAACCCCTGGTCCTGGGTCAGTTTTATTCGCCTGACAGCTTGATGGTAGAAAGTTTTGTGTTTTGAAGCTTGCTTCTTCCAAGCTGTGGGCTGGAAACATCCTCCTTTCTCTTGGATGAAAAGGGAGGCTCTTCTGCAGCACAGCACGCAGCGGCTCCTCTCCCTTTGGGTACCGCTGGGCGCCTGATGCCAGTGCCGCTGCCCAAGATGCAGCCCCAGGGTGGTTTTCGGCTGCCAGGGCACTTGCCTCTCCCCGCCGGCCTCTGCTAGCCCTTTGCTATTTGGCACCTCGGGGTGTCGTGGCCCGGCGCCCTGCGCGAGGTTGCCCGTGGCCGGGGGCAGCACTCGCTTGGCATGCGCGAGGTTGGCGCGCGCCTGCGTCCTGCCCCTTCGGGAGAGCCGCGCTCAAAACCGGGTCAGCTTCCTGCTTTCCTGGGGCTGCCCTCCGAGAGGAGTAGTGCAGAGAGACACTCAGCATCTCTCGCAGGCAATTGTCAGAGTAGAAAAACATCAGTCTGTCTGCTTTTTTTGGAGGGGTGGAGGGTGATGGAGGCCGGGATGTGCAAACTGGGGTTTTCCCCTGCTGCACACACCGCTGAGTTTGGGCCGATGACTTTTTGCCGTGCTCCCTTTTAAATGCTGCACCGCTCCACAAAGAAGCGAGATTTTTTTTTTCTTTTTGCTGTCCAAATCCAAATTTTGCAGACTGGGCCATCTGTCAATTCCCTCCTACGTTGTTCTGTTCATATTAAATTGTAATGAAGGCCAGACTGAAGAAGGAATTAGGTCAGACAGGAGGTTTAGTCTCCGTTTTTGGGGAGATGTTTGTTGCCCAAGAGAGGCACCATGGTTTGGTTGGCTCAGCACAAGCCTGGATGCAAGGGATGCCTGAGCTGTCCTCCCGAGATTTGGCAACAGGGCCTTGTAGCACACTGTGGCCTCTTGGCCCCTGACTCCCCAGCAGCTGGACAGAAATTGTCGATCCAACTGATTCTGCAGCAAATCCTGAAAAAATCCCTTAACAGCCTCAGGCGGGAGGGTGGCTCCACTGCAGACCTGCCCTTGGGCTCACTGCTGGCACACCACAGCCGGTCCAAGAGGACCCTCTCTGTTGGCGTGTCCCCACTGGCTGGGGGCTGCCAAGAGGTTTTTGGGGGTCCCCAGCCACGGGTGCAGCAGCCTGTGCTGCGAAGGGTTGAATATGCAGGAGTCCCAAGGCAGCTGGGAGCATCCTGTGCACAGCAGCTTGCGGCTGAGCTGGCTCCAGCAGCAGCGTGGCTTTGCACAGGGACCTGGGGATGCGGGGGAAGGCAGGAGAAGGACATGAAGGATGGAGAGCAAAGCAGACCCTCTCCAGGCAAGGAGAGGCCAGCATCATGCTCCGATGGCTTGTGTGAACCTCTCCCATGCTGAGAAGGCTGCTTTTGGGTGCAGTTCCCAGGATGGTGCAGGACACCTGTGCAACCAAGAAATTCCTCTTGCATCACACTCTTGCATGCCACGTGGGGTCCGAGCCCTTGTTAGGAGGAATTCAGCATTCAGGTTGTTGGGCACCTGGCATGTCTTGCACTGCCATTCCCAGTGCCCCTGGTTAAAACCTCATCCTGAAGCATTTGAGCTTTCTGTCGGCACGTGAGGGGCAATGGCAGCCAGCATTGAACCCGCTTCGGCCAGAATGAAACTTCGGTGTAGCCACTCGCCTAGCAGAGACAGGACCTTGTCCTTTAGGAAAGTGCCCCGCTTGCCTCTCGCTGCCTTATTCCTGTTACATCTCATGTGAGAGAGGCTTTCTAATAAAAACTGAAGGTTTTTCCAGCCATTGCTGTGAATTTACTCCTGTCCTACAGCTGAGGGGGCTGTCCCTGTCCTAATGCTTGGACTAGAAATGAAAAGCAGTGCTGTCTCATGTTTCCAGTGGAGAATGAAGGCTTGGAGGGGTTCATAGAGCTTCAACTCACGATGCTGAGCAGGATTTGGCCATGACAACTGAAGCCACATGCAACCTGTACAGGCAGCATGGTGCTTGCACTGGGCTGTGGGCTGTGGGTAACCAGCCATGCTGTGCCACCCTGTTCTGGGGAGCAGTGCCTGCTCTGGCAGCCATGGTGAGGTGGGTGTGGGCTCTCCTGCATGGGTGCTGCTCATCCCTGCTAAGGAGGAGCAGGAAGGGGGAAGCATTGATTTAAAGGTCATAGGGATAAGCTGAGCCGGTGAAGGCACCCTGGGAGGTTGCGGAGCCTTTGGGTGAAGCCTGGGGGCTTTTCCTCCACAGGGCCAGTAGGGCTGAAGCGAGAGGGAAGGGCTTATGGGGTTGGGTTGAGTTGCAGCTCCATCAGGCTGGAGAGAAACTGCAGCACCAGGTAGTAAATAAAGATGGTTTTTGCTTTGCTGCCTGGTTTCTTGTTACACAGCTGCTGGAAGGAGCGGGGAGATGCCAAGGTGACAGGGGTGGAAAGGGCTGGCGGTTGGTGGGTGGGCAAAGGGGGACTTGATCGCATTGCACACCTCCACGTTAGCCCGGCTCTGGATGGCAGCGTCATCCTGTCCTCACGGCTTTGGGGGGGCCTTCCTGGCCAGAGTTATGGGGTGTGTGGACACCCTAAAAGAGCTTGCAGTGGAGGCAGGGAGGGCTGCCAGGGGCTGCCTTGTGCTTGCAGTGCGGGTTACACAGGAGTGGGTACTTTCCAAGGAGCACAAGTTTTTTTCCACAGAAGGTATCAGGTCTCCCCAGCATCAGATATCGCCCTGCTGACAAAAACTCACTCTCCTCTTGCTTCAGAGCATCTCACCCCTTTCTTTGGACTGAATGTGGAGGAAAAACTGTGTTTGTCACCTGTGCCACCAAGTAAGCCCCTTCTGAGGGGCCAGCTCTGGCTTGGGGGAGGCCGGCATGCAGCCTGCTTGTTAGCCTCAGTGCTTGCAGCCAGCATGAACCTAATTGAGGATGGGGGATTATTTGGGTGTCCTGAAGTCCGATGTCAGCGGCTTCGACGGCGGCACTGGCTGGCACACATCTGTCACCCTGGCAATGAGCTGCCGGCGCTACCTGTGCCCCAGGGACACCAGCAATCAGGAGCTGCATGTAAAAAAAGAGGAAAGGGAGCAGGACCGGAGCAGGACTGTTGCTGTCTTGTTGGTTGGAGATCCGGCTGCTGATACTGCTGCGCTAGGGACAGCTGCGCACTCAAGCAGCGCAGGTGATGCTGCAGTCATGCTGGCGAGGCCCAGTAAACATCCGTTGGCCACTTGATAAAAAAATCAAGGTGAAAAGGTGTTGGTGGCAAAACACTGCAGCTTGGCAGCGTGGTGCAATCACAGCACGGTGCCATCCTTCTGCTCCTAGTGTAATATAGACCAAAGCTCCCCAGGTGGGTCAAAGGAACTGGTGCTACTGGAAAAGCTGGGCCTGGTCCCATCACTTGCTGGTTTCAGCCCAGTTTGTTCCCAGGGCTGCTGTGTGTCTTGTCCAGAGCCCCGGAGGGGTTTTGCCAGCCTTGCTGGTCTCTGCCAGCACAGGCTGAGCAATACGATGGGCATTGAAGCTCATGGCGGGGGGGTTACCCCTCTCAGCCCACCCAGACCCTGCAGCCTCTGTTTTGGCTTTTCTTGCTGCTGATCCCTGCCCTCCCACTGCTCAGAAAAGCTCGTGACTTGTAAGCATGGTACATTTCTAGCAGCAATGATTTGAGCTACATGCTGGTAAAAAATTGGTAGCAAGGGTGGCTTTATTGCTGGCAGGACCGTAGCCGGGCCCCAGGGGAGCTGGGCTAATTTCCTGGCAGCGCTGCAGACTTCCCCTGTGACCTTGGGCGAGTCATTTAATCTATCCTGGGCTTCGGCTCCATCTCCGAGCATCCCGGGGGGGTGAGGTAATATTCATTAACTGATATTATTCTCGAGTTGCTCAGATGCTATGGTGATGAAGGCTGGATGTGAAACCCAGTGTCTTGGCTGAGCATTAGCAGGGAGAGGGGATGCTCCACTTGAGATTTAGCGTTGCCCCACGCCGGCTGCTATTTTGCCACACTTCCCCTCTTCATTTTGAGCTGACCTGTCTGGCCACCATCGTTACTTGGCTGTATATATACAGTGATGCTCATCACTGAGGAACTCTAATGCCTGGAATCATTCATGGGTTTTGCCTCATCTGATGAAGCAATAGCACCCTCACTTTACACCTGCAGAAGCTGACACGGAGGTAAAGCTGTTTGCTGGAGCTGAGTCAGGGGAAATCTTTGGGTTAGTTAGCAAATATCTAGGGAGTTTCTTTTTAATCCTCCGTGCTGGCTGATACCCCCTTGGCCCTTCTTGGTGATGCCTCAGGCACATTTCCCGTGGGACCGCTCTGCTCCTGAGAGATGTCTTCTCAGTCCTGGCTCTCGTCAGCAAATATGGCTTGTGCAATCAGCCCCTCGATTGCCCGAGCCTCAGCCATGCAGGTGTCTTGCATGCCTGGATCGAAGGCCGCTGCTCCCTGGCAAAACCCAGCTTTCCTCAAAAGCAGCTTTAGGACAGGTTGAAACTTAATTTGTTTCTGCTTTGAGGGAACATACATTCAGGTAGGGCATGAAAACCTGTCATCAGAACTGAAAAAAAAAAAGTCTGATAATCATTTGGATGATTTCACATGTAAAAGGGGAGGGGGGAAAACCATGCTGTTGAAAGAGCAGGGGGAATAAAAGCCTTTCAGAGGTAGTCTGAAGTGGGATTTTCCAATGGAAAAACTGCTTCAATGCAAACCTTGTCTGGCCAGAGCAGCTGACCGGTGGGGCGAGCGCAGGGAGCCAGCCTTGCACCAGCGGCCAGCTCAGCACTGCCGGTCCTTCCCTGCAGCATCCTGACATGTCCGGGCATCAAACTGCGGGCGTGCTGTGGGCGAGGGGGGGGGCATGGCCCGGGGGAGGTGGCAGAGAGGGGTGTCTCCTGCCGCGATAACGCTGTGCCTCTGTCCCCAGGTGCAGAGGATGTGTGCGGCGAGGCGGATGCTGCTGCTGCTGCTGGCTTTCCTGGCCTACGCACTGGATTCAGCTGCGGCGTATGGCACGGCGGAGACCCTCTGTGGCGGGGAGCTGGTGGACACGCTGCAGTTCGTCTGTGGGGACAGGGGCTTCTACTTCAGTAAGTGCCGGGCAGCTGCTGGCAGTGGGCAGGATGCTGCCCCACCCTGCGCCTTGCTTCGGTGGAGCTGGGCTGGGCGGGAAAGGAGGGGTTTTGCAGCCCGGTGCTAGTGCTTTTCATGATTGCCTTGTACATGGCAGTAGGCCAGGAGAGGTGGGAGAAAAGTGACGTGCTCAGGGTGACATGAACCCACCTCACGACGGTTTTGGGGACTGTCTAGTCCCATGGGGAAACGGGATCCTGCATTTGATGCTTGGGGAAGTCAAATATTGCTGGGGACCCATAGGTGGTCAGCTCACCGGCGATGCGGGCAAGTCATTAAAATAACGAGGATGTCTGCAGCCAGCTCTCTGCTGAGCTTGGGCCCTGGCTTACTTTTAAACCTGGCTGCCTAATTGCTGCATCCTGAGAGCAGGCAGGGAGCTGAGCGGTCCCTCTTTCTGCACAGGCTTTGCTTGGGTATAGCAGCAGCTTCTAGGCTGCTCCCAAAATACGCTTTGCGGCCTCCTGGCTACCTGCTGGTGAACCTGTCACTGAAGAGTGACGTCTTACCCTTTTGCAGTGCAGCTAGTGCCAAAAAATGCAGTGTTGCTGTTGTCCGCAGAGTGCAGGTGGCTTCAGGACAGTTGGCTGGAGTGGGCTTTCCACCAGGATGCTTTGAGGGTTTGGACCATTGGCATTAGCAGTACAACGGCTTAGCTGGTCAATGGGGAGGAGGAGGAGTAAACCAGTAGTGATGGATGCTCAGCAGTCTGTGGGCGGAGGTGCCTCGAGTGTGATGCCTTGTCCTGGTGTTTCAGTCCTCTGTTCTGCCTGGGAGAGGGAAGACCCTGTGTCTTGCTGCCCAATGAGGACTGAACTGCAGAGTGACTGACTGTGGGAAATGCGCAAAGCCAAGCAGAAGAGAAAAGGATGGAGATGCCAGCTGCATATGGTACCATGCATTTGGCAGTCTTGCCTCTACCTTGGGAAAAGGAATTAAAAAGTTGCTTTCAAGTAACAGGGTATTGTTTGGAGTAGTGGAGTCGAGAGCCCTCCTCTCCCAGTCTCCCTGTGCAGGGAACGGGGTGCTGCAGAGTTAGGAGACGACCCTGGATGTCCTTTCCCAACCTGGGTGCTCAACCAGACTTGGCTGATGCAGCCTTCTGAGGCTGGGCAGGGAGAGGCACAGGGATCCTGCATCTAGCAGCAGCCAGGGCTTGGGCTGTGTAATTTTGGGCAGGTGGTTGGGCTGCAGGTGGCTTTGCAGCTATCGAGGGTGGTTGCTCTGCCCCGTCCCAGCTGAGCAGCGGGATGTTTTCACGGCCCCCCGGGTGTTGCGGGCAGGCGGTGCTTTTGGGGATGCCCTGAGCGTGCTTTCTTCCTCTGGCCGAGCCGAGTGGCGAGGGTTTGCATGTCAGCTGCCCTTCCTCTTCTCATCTCCCCCTTCCACATTTTCTCCGCCAACAAGCCCCGTGCCGGAGCTCAGCCAAGGTGGCGGGTCCGGGGCTGGTCTTACTGGCGTGTTGAGGAGGCGAGCTCCTCTCCCACTCTCACACCTCTTCCTCGCCCTCTGTATATAGAGGAGCATCCGTCTCCCTCCCTGGTTTCTCTTCCCTCCTCCCTCTCTCTGGGGATGAAAGGGAATGGGGCTTTTGTTTTATGGATAAACTGACCTCCTTTCACCTCAAATGACCCAGCCACCCAGGCCAAAATCAAAACATTTTTGAAGGCAGACAAGTCGCTTGGTGCCAAGTGGCCAGTCTGGTGCTTGCAAGGGGATTCTTGCCTTTTTTTTTTTTTGTCCTCTCCCATCTCTCCTTCTTCTTTTTGAATATTTCTGGAGAGCCCAGGTGCTGGGGGACGAAGCAAATTCCCCCCAGTCCCATATTTTAACCCCTTCAGCATCTGGCCAGCCTGTGCCGTGCAGGGCTGAAGACGTTTGGATGATGGCTCTACTTGTTGAAGGGTTTGGACATCACCAGCTCTCCTAATTTATTCCCTCTACCTCTATCAGTGGGCCTCATAAAGTGATTAATTTTCCAGACTGTATTCATCTTCACTCCTAAACCCTCATGGCTACGCTATCGTCATCGTGTAGGCTTGATAGGGCATGGTTATGTTGCACGATCACGGGTTTACGTCTTAAAACTGTGTCTGGGTTTGTCATGAGCACTTCTCAGCATGGGACATGCGACCTGATGAGCAGCCTGCACTAATGCAGTTGTTCATGCAGGAGGTGAATGACTTGGGCAGCCTTGTCCCACAGGTACAGGTGGGCCCCTCTTGCTGGATGGGGCTTGTTGCAAGCATCTGACTGGTAATCTTGGAAAAAACAAAAATGGTATGAATATCCATTGTTGGTTTGCTGCTGCAGTGGTGATTTAAGTACTTAAACGATGCTCTGCATTCTTAGAAGGGAGCACTTAGCTAGCGAAGCCAGCTCTGAAATACAGCACTGTTTGCATCCATGCCAGGGGATGCAGCGTACTGACAGTGTTTCATCCCTCCAGCATCTGGCGATGGGGAAATACGCAACCTAGACTGATGAGGGTGCACCCCCTGAACACTAGGATGCCCATCTGTCCTCTGTTGTGGGGAGTGAGTCTCAGCCGCCAGGTGCCCTTGGAGGCATCGTAGCTGGCAGGTGCTTGGGGTTGAGGATGTTGGAGCTGCCTCTGAGAGCTGGGGCTGCAAAACAGCTGCACGAACAGGAGCAGTAGCTGGCGGCGCCAGGATTATCCAGCCATGGGGTGCAGGGTGGGCATGGCAATGTGCACCGTGCCAGCCCCGTGCCGCATCCTGGGGGGTGCCTGGGCAAGCTGCATCTGGTGCCGTGCATGCTTTGCTCTCCACCTCTGCCGTGATTCCTCCCCTCTGTGACTTTGAAGGCTTTTGGGGCTGGCCTGCAGGTGCCGGCAAGGTGGTGGCATCCCAATGTGGCTCTGCGGCCTTCTCTCCCTGCTCACCAACACCCACCCTGGGGATGGCGGCCTGGCCCGTGGAGAGATGCTGAGCGCAGCTCCGAGTGAAACAAGCGAGGCAGGTCGAGAGGAAGCCCCGGCCGCGAAGTTGCTGTCATGCAATGCTGGCAGGGAGGGGAGAAGGGGCTGCAGGGGGAGAGGCGTCCGACTTCTCTGTAAACAACAGCTCCTGTTTCCTCCTTTCCAACAGCTGATAAGAATTTAGCTCTTTGCAGCCGCTTGTGCTGACGGGGCACATTCTTGCGCGCCCGCCGCTCCTCCGAATAATACTAGGAAAAAGCAGGGGGGAAAGTGTGGTGCCGTGGTGGGGGAGGGCCAGGCCGGGGGCACTGGGACGGGGCCCGGTGCTGCACAAAGGCCCCCTTGTTGCTCCCGACATTCCTGCGACAGGGGCGCGGGGACTGTTTACACCCAAAGTCCCCTTCCACTCGGCTTGCCGCCTGATTGACCGGAGGAGAGGGGACCCGACCAGGGTGGCACCGGCACCGCGCACCCTTCCCTGTGGCATCTGTCCGGCCCCAGTGAGGGTGGGGAGCCCAGAGCAGTGGGGTGGCGATGCTAGGGAAGAGACCCCTGTGGCCACAGCGGAGGCTCCGGCACGGAGGCATAGCTGAGCTGCAGGTACGCAGCCTCTGGGTTCTCCTGGAGTGGGTTTGGCTTTGCACCGCCAGGATGCCCAGCTCTCACTGTCAGGATAGCCTGCTGCCGGACAGGAATAACTCTCGGCAGCCGGAGGACTTTGCACCGCCGGCCTTTGCATCGTGGGGCTTGGCTGCTCAGCAGAGCTGTGGGAGGTTTTGGTGGAGCACAATTTGAGGAAAAAGAGAGCATAGCCATTCATTGAAGGCCGAGAGGAAGCGCATTGACTCAGGAGGAGGTGGTCATCGCTGCAATGGGAAGTGGCTCGCGTGCCCCGGCGGTGCTGCAGCCTGCTGCCCACACAGCTCTCCCCTGTGGGCAAGGGACGGAGTGGCAAAACCCTCCCTGGGTTTGGCAGTGGCAGTAAAGCGAGATGCCACCCATGGGCAAAAGCCAGGAAATTCAACCTTTAGTCCGTGCGTAAATCGTGTTGTGGAACCAACACTTTTCCCAATCCAGGTCAGCAGCGATATTGCTGTTAACCAGCCATGTCCTGGCGTCTCTTCCCTGGGTTGTTGTCTCCAGGTACTTTCTGGGACTAAATCCCTGTTTGTTATGTTTGCCTATTTTTTTCGTGAAGTAACTCTCCCACAGAGGATTGTATTGGCATTTGGTGAGATCCGTACGGACAATTATGTAATGGGAGATGTGCCCTATCAGACCATCGCAGCGGAGCTGGCAGCAGCGCCAGCAAGGGGAGCGTCATGCAGCAGCTTTATGCAAGAGAGAAGGGACAGTGCATTGGGGCCAGGGGCCACGCGTGTGCCCGCCGGCTGGGCAGGGGCAGCGAGCGGGGAGGAAGGGGCCATGCCGCCGCAGTGGTCCCTGCCGGGAGCTCACCCTGGCAGTGCCACACCTGGGCATTTGCAGACACGTGCTGCCATGATCTTCCCACGTGCTCCCATGCCAGAAAGTGCCCTTGATGGCAAGGCGGTGAAATGGTCCCGCTTTGCTTGTTGGTTTTTTTCCCTGCTCTTCTTTCCAAACAAACACATAGCTGCAAGCGGGCAACTTCTTTTTTTCGAGAGGAGACATGTAACCTTTCAAAACCTCAACTTCTCCCCGAACCGTGCGTGTTGTCACTTGTGCAACCTTCTGTTCAGCGGGAGTGTGAATGCAGCCCTCTGGGGATGTGCTAGCAAGAGGGGGTGACTTGAATTTTTTCTCTTTTCCTTCCAAACTCTCCTGCCTGTGCTCAGGATGCCTTTCTGGAGCAGCCTAATGCTTCAGCAACCTGCTGCACACACGGGTTCGGGCACTGGGGTTGATAGATGCTGAGCGGGGGCCATATGCGGCACGGGATGTTGGTGGCAGCGCACACCTCCCATGGACCTCGCTGAGCATCACATGCATGTAGCAGAATAGGTGCACCTGGCCCCAAGCTGGATCCTCTCCCCCATCTCCCTTGGGCATCGCCACCTGGATCGCCTGCACTGGCATCACTCGTACGGCTGCGAGCAAGCAACACACCTGCCCTGCCTTTAAAGGGAGGGCCCAATCCAGCGTGCTTGTTGGCCACAAGCATTTACAGAGAGAAAATGAAACTCTTAACAGTGCTCCCTTTACTGAACCTTTACCTAGAGGGAACCATCCTTCTCATCTCCCCATGGGGCTGACTAAAGGTCGTGCTTGAATTTTTTCCAGAGAAATAGAAAAAGAAAAGGAGTGTGGTGGCACAGGGGGCATGCATGTGGAAAACAGAGCATTTGAAATGACTCCCGAAGGCGGGCTGCATGGTATGAGTCAGCTGCCCCATCATCCTGTGCCCCGACGCCGCGTTTTCTCTTGTGACCTCCGAGCACGGCAGCAATGCACCAGTGTGGAGCAGAGGGCTCCCCGCTGATGGGGGCATGGCTGATTTTAACAGAGAGCACGTGCCCTGCTGCCAGGGGCTTTGCTATTGCAGAGCCTGTGGCGAGGTATGGTTGCGGGGTTTTGCATGCCAGCATTGCACACATGGGGCTGCATTGTGCATGCAGGGCTGCGTTGAATGTGCAGGGCTGCGTTGCACACGTGGGGCTGCGTTGAATGCACATGCATATCTGCATTGCACACGCAAGACTGCATTGCACATGCATGTTTGCATTGCGCATATGGGGCTGCTTTTCACATGTGGGGTTGAACTACATGCTCAGAAAACTCTGTGCTTTGCACTTTGTCCTGAGGTACTTTGGGTGAGCACCCACATGGGGTACCCCCCAGGGAAACTGGTCAGCACCTGGCAAGCCAGAGCCCTTAAATCTTCAGCAAGGCCAAATACTTGAGTGCCTGCTTCATCCAGAGTGCATGGGGGGATCGTAGGTCATGTATGGGGCCAACATGGACCATTTTGTGCATCACACCTCCACCGCTTGCTCTGTTTTTCCCATGCCCAAATTCTCCCAGCTGGAATGTGGTCCTGTTTGCAAGCCTCGCTGGTGCCGGCCTCTGGTCCCTCCCTCGGAGCACCTTGTGCTGGGAAGAGGTGCTTGTCGCAGCGCGCAGAGCCCCTGCTGCAAACCCTACAACAGCACATGTGCATAACATGCCACGTGCAAAGGCCCGGAGAGAATCCTTTCTTTCTGGGCCGGTGTATGTTTTGGAAGTCACAATTCCCAAGCAAATTTGTTTTACATCAGAAATTCAAATTTGCCTATCTCTTTCTTTTATTTCAAGAGGGGGAGGAAAACCAGTAAAACTGAGGTAAGCTTTTCCTCTGGAGAGTTTTGGCCGTCATTAAGCAGTGACATGAAATGCACTCGGTTGTTGCTGCACCGGACATGGGCTTTCGCATCCTTCTGCAGGCAGAAATGGGAGAGGAACCCTTATTAAAAGATTAAGTTTAATAGCTATTCTTGGCGGATGTGGGAGCCTGTATTCTTTCTGCAGCTGTCTCAGAGCTGTCCCATCTGGTAAAATTTAGCCGCCTTGGTTCGTTTCACCTGCCTGAGCGTGGACCCGACGCAGAGAAGTTGGCAGCGGCAACGCCGTGCTGCTTCTTTCTAATAAAACTCACTTGCCAGGATCAACATCGGAGACGGTCGCAATAATCGGCGCAGCGCTGGCAGCTGGGCTGAGTTTGAGCTTCCTCGCTTTAGCGGTGCCCAAAAAGGCCGTCTGTGCCAGAGGTATAGGAGGGGAATAAATCACCGCCGTATAAAGTGCCTTTAATTAGCGCTGCGTGCACGTGGGGAGCCCTGTTGGCATCAACAACATTTGTCTGGGAAAGTCTTAATGTGAAACTCGGCTGGTTTGTGGGCACGTGTTGACTGGTCTGGGAGAAGTGCTTCTGTTTTTGAAGTGTGTGGGACCCACTGGTCTCCAGTGGCTGGTGGAGGGATGCCTGCAAGAGGATGGGTGCTGTGGAGGGGGGAAGAGAGTCCAGTCCAGGTTGGCGGCTAACGCTGGGGCCTCTGCTGTTGCAGGTAGACCGGTGGGACGAAATAACCGGCGGATCAACCGGGGAATCGTGGAGGAGTGCTGCTTTCGGAGCTGTGACCTGGCTCTGCTGGAAACCTACTGCGCCAAGTCCGTCAAGTCCGAGCGCGACCTCTCTGCTACGTCCCTGGCGGGCCTGCCAGCACTCAACAAGGTAGGGAGGCTGCGCTGGCATGATGGCCCTTCTCCGAAATAAATAGCAAGAGAAAGGATGGGAAGGCCATGGGTGGGAGAGGACAGACCCCAGCTGCAAGGTCTTCTGCTTCTGCAGAGCCTTCAAGAGCGGGCAACTGTTGGCATCTCATGCCAAATACCCTGCAGAAAGTCAGCTTTTAATAAGGTGGAGGACCAAAGGTAGACTGGATCATAGAATCAGAATAGTTTGGGTTGGAAGGGACCTTTACAGGTCATCTAGTCCAACCCCCCTGCAGTGAGCAGGGACATCTTCAACTAGAGCAGGTTGTTCAGAGCCCCATCCAACCTAACCTTGAATGTTTCCAGGGATGGGGCAATGTTTCCATGGGATGGATGGAGCTCAGAGAGTGGCACACCCGTCCAGAGGGCTGGCTGGCTTGCAGAGAGGCTGACGTTGCTATCTTGTACCCTTGCAGGAGAGCTTCCAGAAGCCCTCGCACGCCAAGTACTCCAAGTATGACGTGTGGCAGAAGAAGAGCTCCCAGCGGCTGCAGCGGGAGGTGCCCGGCATCCTGCGGGCTCGCCAGTACCGGTGGCAAGCAGAGGGGCTGCAAGCGGCCGAGGAGGCCAAGGCGCTGCACCGTCCCCTCATCTCCCTGCCCAGCCAGAGGCCCCCAGCAGCACGAGCCTCCCCCGAAACGGCTGGCCCCCAGAAATGAACCCTGACCAGCCGTCTCGATTTTTGATCTCCCGGGGGAGGGCGGGAGGACTGGCGAGACCCGGCCCCCGAGCCCCTCCGTCCCCGGGGCCACCGAGCCGAGGAGCGGGGCGGCGGGGCACTCTTACGCCGCTCTGGCCCCAACCAAACAACTAACACAGCAAGGAGGGGATGGCGGCGGTGGCGGCGGCGGCGGCGGCAAGCAGCGCCGCTCCCACGGCATCGTCCTTTCGGGGTGGGGGGGAGGGTTGTTTTGTTTCCCAGGCCTGTTTCGTTCCCCCACACCCCCAGTATTTCCAAGCCTGTACTTGCAAAGGGACAGTTTGGCACTTGAACTTTTTGCTGCCGGGCGCTGCGTGACATCCCTGGTGCCAATGCCAGAAGACAAAAGAAAGAGCAAGAGGGAAAAAGGATATGGAGTTAAAATTTTTTTTAAATCTTTTTTTTTCCTCGAGAAGAGTCCATTCCGTGTCTTTCTTGACAATAAAGAGAAAAAAACATAAAGTGGGGAGAAATATTGAGGGATATAATTTTTTTGCCTCATTCCCACCCCAGTTTTTTCTTCTTTTTTTTTTTTCTTTTGGTTTTCTTATTTTTATAACTTTCTTTTGCACCTTTAAAAGAAAAACGTACCTGAGAAGAAGTTCTGAGGAGCCCCCATCTGCATTTTTGTGTGTGTGCTTCATTACAAGATTCCAAATCGACTTGCACCTTTTTGAAATCATCGATGACGTGAGAAAGAGTGGAAGAGGAGAGAGAAAGCGAGAAAGAGAGAAGAAAAAGGGAAGGGGAAAGAAGAAAAAAAAAAAAGAAAAAAGTGAGCTGATGCTCACTTTAAATGGAGGAGGCGTCTGCATTGCACATTTGCCACGGATTTAGTTGATTTATATATATAATATATTATATAACTTTTTTGGCAAAAAAAGCACTATTTTTATGGGACATTTTGTGTAGTATCTGAAGAGGGATTGTAATGTTTAAAATGTGTTATGGTGCTAAAGTAAGTTGGAAGGGAAAAAACCCAGAAATAGCAAGGGAGGGTGGGGAGGGAAGGACAAGATAGCGAATACTGAACTTGAAATTTTAGCTTTTCGTTTTAGGAAAAGTGTGATAAATGTGTTTCTTTTCTCTTCTGAAATATAGCTTGGTCATGACCATATGAGCTAGTTGGCTGTTACTCATGTACACAGATGCACGCACACACAGAAATACATCGACATGCATCCTTTTTTTAAAAAAAAAAAAACCACAAAACCACCACAATTTAGACTAAAAGGGAACTGTTCTAGAGACAAACTATTTTGAATGGTGAAGGTGTTGCCAGTTACAACTCGAGGCCCTGCTTCTGCACGGACCCCCGGCGGAGCCTGGCTTCCCCAGCCATGGGGGACCTCCTGCTTCCTCCCCACCCTGACGGCTTGCTCGCGCGCCGATGCTCCGGCTTCCCCCCCCCCCCTGCCCCCCTCCCCCCGCCCCCCCCCCGGGGCTGCGGAGGAGGGGGGCTGCACCCAGGTGGCTGCAGGGCTGGGACCGCTGCACGGGACAGGGGGAAAAGGCAAGTCTCTGGCTTGAGGCTCGGGACTCGGTGAGCGGATGGGTTTGAGAGGTGGGCAGAGGGCTGTAAAAAAGGTTGGTTTTAAAATAATATATATTATCTGTCTAGGAACCGTAAAAAGGGGGGAATCAATTACATCTCCCTATGATATACTCTCACTTGCTAATAAAATGGGGACACTCTGTTAACCAGTTCTGTACTTGCTTTGTCTTATATATCCATACATTTAAAACATAAAAAAAAAAAGACTACTTGAATTGTATTCTATTTCGTGGTTTGGAAGGGAGGGCTAGGGGGAGTCTTGAGAGGGGGAGGATTTTAATGTATAATCCTTTTGTTTGTTATTACCTTGCAATGTTGAGCCATGAAGCCTTTGTTTAAAAAAAAAATGGCACTGCAATACACGACAAAGAAAATCCTTTATTTATTTTATTAAATATATATGGAAAAGAATGAAAATCAGTCCAAATTAAGGGGGGGGGAAGGGAAGTGGGTGGGGAAGCAGAATAAAAACAGAGCAATTGCAAATAATTGACTTTTTTGTTTTTCCTTTTCATGTGTCTTTTTTTAAAAGAAACTTAGTTTTTATTTTTTAAAAAGAGAAGTAAAAGCTTTCCTGGATGCTTTGTACCAAAAAAGAAAAAAAAAAAAAAAGAAAATCTCTTAAGCAAATAAATATCCATCCAGAATATGACGCCTGACTTTTTCTTTTACTTTTCATTTATTTTTGCTCCTGGGGTGAGAGTTGGGTGGGAAGAAGGCCACGCCAAGCGCCACTCTTTGTGGAGGAACAGAGTGCATTGCAGCTCCTTTTTTCGGGGCTCAAACCTGCAAGAGAGGGTGAGGTGCCCTTAAACACAACCCTGAAACCTCAATCGTATGGCAGATGCCCCCCAAACCCACTGAGATAAATACGTGCCCCCTGAGATAAATATGTGCCCAGCAATTCTTGGTGAGATTTGGGGGTGTTTCCCAGCAGCTATTGGGATTTGCTTAGCTTTTACTGGTTTGGGCTGTTCCCAGAGACCTGAAAGCTGGGAGATCAAGATGCACCAGAGGCAAAAAGGAGAAAAAAGAATGTTGTATCTAGGTTAGGTTTCCTGGTAGATGGTGCTTGTCTGGTTTCTCAGGGTAGATATAGCCTCTCCTAAGTTTTTAGGGATCCCGATGAGCTGCTTTACATCACATATAACCATCCTGCACCAGTGCAAATGGGAGATAAACCACTGTGGTTCCGGTTTGGTAGCAGAGCAACTGCTGGGCGAAACAGTGCCCAAGCATCCTTAATCCCCCAAATCAGCCAGACGCTGCACTGTCTGCCCAGTCCTGCTGGCATGGCCAAGCCCTCTGGCTGGCTGTGGGGTAAGGGACTTGAGTGAGGACCTCACCGAGCCCAACCTCCTGCCCCAGACAACTTGGGCTGGAAAAAGTTTTTCACCTCAAAAGTGGAGTTGCTGATTTAGGCACTTAAAAAAATACATGTTTTAAACCAATTTCTTTTTAAATTTTGCAGTAAGCAAAAAAAAAAAAATAATTTTTTTGTCAGAGATTTTCCTCGGGATTCTTGTGGTTGGTCAGGAGGGTTTTTGTACACATGCAGGGCTGGCTGCTTCCTTTGGTGTGTACTTTATTGCAGGTGGAGAAAGGATGTGTCTGCCTTCCTGTCCCTGTCCCGCCACCTGCCACAGACGGGGTGAGGGACTGATTTCGTCGTGGCTTGTGGTGGCCACTGCTGGAAATTTTGCCTTTGGGAGCTTTGGTCCCTTTCTGCTCTTTGCTGTGTAAACCACTATCATGGGCGACATTTAGAGATGATTAAAAACTAAGCAAAACTTCAGCTAAATCTCTTGCCTGCATCCCCCGGGGAGGAAAGCAGCGATGCTGGAAGCGCTGTAAGGATGATGATGTTATTTCCACGAATGGACGGCTCTTCTTTAACCCTCCTTTCTGCTTTATCGGGTCACGGGTCACCATGGGCCCAGACCAGAGCAGGTCATTTTTTGGATACCAGGAGACTGTTCAAAATGGACCATCCTGCCTTTTGGCTTGGCAAGGAATGCCTTCACTTGCAAGGAGAGACCCAAGCAGCCTGGTCCTGGCCAGTGGGTGGGGGACTGGATGAAACTGGACCTTTGCTTCTGCTCAAATTTCTTCCATTGCCTGCAAAGCCTCTTTGCAGGTTGGCAGATAAATCACAGGCTTAGCTTGGAAATCCCAGAACTGCAAGCTTGAGAACAAACCCAAGATTCCGTGTTTGCTCAGACGGATGGGCAGAATTGCCTCCAATTTTTGTTATGCTGACTCTACATGCAGACACAGCTCCAAGCGCTTAGCTGCTGGATCGCAGAAGCATGGGAGGCTGCAGCAGCAACCAGCAGTGATCCCTGGGGAGGGACAACTGGCAGGTCTGGGCGCCCAACGCACGTCCACGTCCAGCCCAGCTTGTCCAGGGACCTCCACCTGCTGCTCTGCTCACATGCAGGAGGGTGGGGACGCAAAGGATAATTTCAGCAGAGGAGTTTGAAATGCTGTCTAGTGCCCCAGGAAGGACTGGGAAAGCCACCCCCTTGTCCTAGCCCAGCCCCAGCTCTGGCCCCTGGGTCTCAGTATTATCATGTAGGAGGAAGAAAAGGGCAAATGGTTTTTGCATAAAGCATGTCTTCAGAGGGCATTTTCCCAGTGTGATACACACAGGGATACTGGGAAAGAGGGAAAGTGCAACTTGCTGTACAGAAGTGGCCACAGTCTTTGCGAGGTATGTCAATCAGTGTCTCTGGCTTTGTCTGGATAAGGGGAGACACAGGGGAAAAAAATCCCACCAACTAACATACTTTTCCCTTTTTTTTTTCCCCCTTCTACATTATTTCTTAGCTTTTTTTATCCAGAAAGCAGCTGAGCTGTTTTCCTAGCTTTCAGTGAGTGGTACCAGTGCCATTGGGATGGACTGAGCCTCCAAACTGGTTCCTCTACATCTGCATCTCATAGCAGGTTCATCCGTTTCATTCTGCCTGCTCTCAAATGCTCGGTCTTTCAGTGATGTACCTAGCTGCACTAAACAACGTGTTTGTTGTTTCTTAAATATACCTGATTTCCTTGTGGCATGTATTATTGTCCACAGGCTGTGGGGAGGCCTGGGAAAGGTGTTGATGTATTGTGGATTATTTCACTTGCGTGCACACAGTGGTATGCAAGACTCAGATAGTTTTCTGCACCTATTGCACTTCTCATTTGTAATGCAGTATTAATAAAGCAAAGCAGTTATAACAGCCTTGTGGCATCTGATATCTTTTATTTCCCCCTACTTTCTTTATTTTTTAAAGAGCACGTGAGCCATAAAACACCCCGAGGCTGGGGTAGCACAGCAATTGCATGGTTCCCAATGCAGTCAGAGGGGGAACCCTGGTTTGCAAAGACAAACAGACCCCATGTCCTAGGATGGGTCTGTCATTGCCACTGCGGGGCTGGGGGTGGCTCTCACCCCCAGGGTGCTGAAGGATGCTCAGGCTGTCAGCGGGCAGCGCAGTGTGGCAGACATGACTTCAACCTGCCGGACAGGCACGGGTCCTCACAGGAATCTTGGCCCGCTTCGCTCCTGCGCTCCCAGCTGTGCATGTCCCAAG